CGAGACCAGACAGCGCCTGCTACCAACAGAACTGGCCTTGGCTTTCAGTCGCAGGGGGTGACTTTATTGCAGGCCTAGCTAAGACTCAGCTGCTCAGCATTTCACACAGGGGTCTGCCCTTTCCTTTTAGCCATCTCCCCTTCCCCCACAGGGGAATTCAGCCTAGTGCAGAGGGTCAGCCTGAGGCACACACACCATTTAAGCCCCAAACCAAACATGGCAGGAATAGGCTCAGCTGCTATCTGGACCTCAGCTTGGTCTCCTTTGCCAGTGAGCTACCAGTGCCCTTCCTTGGTATTACCAAGGTAGCATAGGATATCCTAAGATACTAAGTTACTAAGATATCCTATGCTAAGATACTAAGTTAGCATAGGATATCCAGTAGATGGAGAGAATGGCCTCTGTACTGGCCTCAGCCAATGGACCCCACGAGTGTGGGATATCTCTGGGATACGGGATGAATTTCTCCCTCAGCAGTCCCTATAGCAAAGTGAGTTGTGTTCCTCCTGCATGGGAGTTGGCGAGTAGCTACAGGACAGCCTGCTCGTTCAACTAGTCCACTTAGTTTGAAGACAGAGCGTCCTGGTTCTATGGTTCCCACCCCAGCTCTTCACACATGGGAACCCCCACCCGTGTTGTCAGGCTCCAGTGATAATCCACCGGCGAGTGCACATCACAAAGCTTTCTCTATGTACAAGCCACAGAGGCTGCTGACAGACTAGAGCAGGAGGACTTTTTTTTGACCTGGAGGACTCTGATTCTGTCCTCAGAGCACCGGCCGAGATGGCACTCATCAGCATTACACAACTGGCATGGATCCCAACCGACCACATCTTCCTTGCCTGGCTGGGATTGGCTGCTCTTTGCTTACCGGGGGCAGGAAGATGATGCTGTGCGGCGGCACAAAGAGACTCGCTCCAAAGACGGTGAGATGTTCGGTCAGACACACAATCTCTTTCTGGCTGGTAGCAGCTGTTGGAGTCACGCCTTCTGTGCTCCACTGCATGCTGGGGAAGTGGAAGTACTGGCAGAGGCTGGCAAAGACAGTGATGGTGGCAGTAACAGGTGCCCGGGAGAAGAGGTTGGTGATGTTGACATGGTAGTCCCAGGGGGTCCTGTTGAAGCTGTAGCTGGAAAGTGGAGGTGATAGCGATGAGGCAATGAGCTCGCAGCTCTGCTGCCCTCATCAGCCCAAAGAACCTCAGTGGTCCTTACAAACTGGAGATCCAGGGTCACTTCACCCACCCCTGAAGTGCCTCTGGGGTGGGATGCAGCAGCTGATTGACAACATACAGGAACACTGCATGACACATTTGGATGGGAAGCACAGGGGAGCGACTCACAGCAGGGGAGTGGGTCGCTCGAATGCTCAGGACAGGTTCTCCATGGTCCCACACTGCCCGGGGGCTATTACCACCATCTTGGTCCTACAAACCACCCTCTTGGTCCTACGAACTCACCCCAAACTCCCCCTCCCTACCCAGCCTCAGCACTCTGATTTCTCCCTGATGCCCCCCTGACTCGGTGTCAAACACAGTGGACCAAATGCACTGCACCACTTGGGCTCCACACCTGTGACAGCACACAGCCCCTTAGATCCCTGTCCATTCCTACCCTTACACTGTACAACACCAAGACAGTCGGGGTCTGGGATACATCATGCAGCACACCATGCAGCACAAGTAGAGAGAGACATTGCAGCTGTGTGGGCCTAGGCTGTGGTGTCCAGGCCCATGCCACCCAGTTGACCCTGGAGAGCAATGTCTCACATAACATGTCAGGTTGTCAGAACACAGACCTGGGCATTTCCTTTGGTGCCACTGATTGTTCCTGCTTTCACCACACTCCATGTGCTGACGTCTTTTGAGAACACCCTCGGTGCCGTGCTAGGGCATGTACCACTGGGATCACAGATGTTTCTCATGGACACACATTATTCCCCTCCCATTATGCATAGCCTCAAACTCCAGGGAGTGACATTGCTGGAAGAAACCTGCAAATCCCAGTATTGCAGATGGATGGACACTTACGGAGATGAAAGCAGGATGGTGACTTCCCTGCTGCTGTCTGCTTCCAAGTCACCAGGAAAGATCATTTCTTCCTTCCAGGCATAGTGCCACTCATTGGGGAAAGGCATGTGGTGTCCATACAGATGGACTGAGGGCTCTCTCTCCTGGCTGGGATCAAAACCTGGGGAGACATGGCTAGGCACTCACAATGGCATTGCAATATTTAGTGCAACCTGCAGTTGCACTAAATCTGGGAGAAGGGGGACTGCATGCTCTGGAAGGGCACAGAAGTTAAGAGTCCCAAGGGCCATTTTCTTTGCATGCATTGGACTCCTGGGCTTATGATGCAGACAAGCTGAAGGACTCTCCAAACCCAGGTCACTCTTGAGGCAAAGCTGTCTCCATCTATGCCTACCACTGCCCTGTGCTGGATGGAGACAGCTTTGCCTCAGGGCTGTGGTGGCCAGATCCATAAAGGGACTGGACAAATTATGGGAGGAAAGGGGTATCAGTAGCTCCTAAACACAAGAGTTAGGGAAACAGCCTCTGAATCAGAACTTCCTAGACCTTAAATGCTGGAGGCTGCAAGTGAGAGAGGAGCAGTGGGGAAAAACCCTGGTCAGACCCAGCTCGCTCTCCCTTTCAGCATCCTCTCTCTGCCCCTGTGTGACACAAGCCTATTTGTTGTGCCACGGGGTCAAGTTTAAGTCCATCATGAAAAAAAACTATAAGCCTCCCTTTAAAGGGAGGCCTCTAGGGACACATCAACTGATTGGGCAACTGAAAAGAAAATGGGAATGGGAGTGAGGTCAAAGGTTAATAACAAGGGATCCAGAAGGGGACCCTGAACAGAGCACACCAGTCAGTGCCCACTGTCCCCTGAATGAGTCAAGGGCCTGTGTGATGCAGGACACTGGGCAAGATGGACCTATGGCCTGACCCAGTAAATGGCAGTTCTTGTGTTCTTATGACAGGCTCCGCAAACACTGATGGACACCCAATGGTGTGTGTACACCCAATGGACACCCAACCTCAGACTCAGGTCAGGCTGTATTTTTAAAACTCCAGGACTGAGCACATTGTGTTGCACAGGAGGGACTTAGCTGAGGGTCATTGTGTCTCTGTGATATTGAGACAGTTATGATCCCAGAGGCAGGGAACTCCTGCCCCCACCTAGCTGGATGAAGGAGGCCAGCTTGACCCACTTCAGACCAGGACAAGTCTGGCTTTCTCATTCCTTGCCAGTGACTCACCTTCCTGCACCGTGACAGTCATGTGGAGGTGCACCCCTGCGGCACTTCTTCCTGCCGTGGCCTTCACCGTGAGATTCACCGATTCCCCAGGAGGGATGAGGATCAGTGTTGGAGGGGAGCTCTGCAGCTCCTGCTGCTCCATTGGTAGCCTCAGCCCAATGGCTGCCTCCCCAGACAAGTTGTAGACTGGGATGGGTGCCCCTCCTGGGGTGGTGAACTCTAGGAGCGCCAGATGGGTGGAGATGGAGGAGTTGGCATAGTAGTTGAATGGGAAGGGGTTGATGGAGATGTCCATGAGGACCTGCACCACCTCCTGGCTTCCTGCCAGCTGCCCAGCCACCGCACCAGGCAGGGAGAAGAGGCACTGCTCTGCAGGGGCAAGGCACAGCAGGTTGGGAGAGTTGGCCCTCTTGCCCTGCACATGGATCTCTGAGACAGACAGCAAAAGGGTCTCCTCATTCAGGACCCGGGACCTCATCAGGGACTTCATCAGGGCGCGGGTGAGGTTGAAGGCAGACAAGGCCACGCTGAGGCCAGAGGCCCCAGAGAGATGTGGGTGAGGGGCTCCATCCAATGCAGATAACAAGCTCCCTGGAAAAGAGATTGCACAGGTCAGAGGTTTCCCCTCATCACCCTCTTCTTCCTCAACCCTACATCTCCAGTTCTTAGGGTGATGAGCATAGAGCTCCTTCACCTCCAACCCGAGAAAGCTCTTAAGAAAGACAGTCTTATCCTGTCTGGGGGCAGAATATTGTTAGATTGACCAGGGTCTGCAGCACCCATAGCCACGAAGCCGATGTCTCACTTCAGACAGAGCTGGCCTGCTACTGGCTACCAGGGTTTGAATTACACTTTGACTCTTGGTGGGGTTTAACACTAAGTTAAACCGGTTCATTGATTCACAAGTCTGCCTAAGTGACCCCCACCCCCAGGTTATGATTTTCAAGGAGCGCCAGATGGGTGGAGATGGAGGAGTTGGCATAGTAGTTGAATGGGAAGGGGTTGATGGAGATGTCCATGAGGACCTGCACCACCTCCTGGCTTCCTGCCAGCTGCCCAGCCACCGCACCAGGCAGGGAGAAGAGGCACTGCTCTGCAGGGGCAAGGCACAGCAGGTTGGGAGAGTTGGCCCTCTTGCCCTGCACATGGATCTCTGAGACAGACAGCAAAAGGGTCTCCTCATTCAGGACCCGGGACCTCATCAGGGACTTCATCAGGGCGCGGGTGAGGTTGAAGGCAGACAAGGCCACGCTGAGGCCAGAGGCCCCAGAGAGATGTGGGTGAGGGGCTCCATCCAATGCAGATAACAAGCTCCCTGGAAAAGAGATTGCACAGGTCAGAGGTTTCCCCTCATCACCCTCTTCTTCCTCAACCCTACATCTCCAGTTCTTAGGGTGATGAGCATAGAGCTCCTTCACCTCCAACCCGAGAAAGCTCTTAAGAAAGACAGTCTTATCCTGTCTGGGGGCAGAATATTGTTAGATTGACCAGGGTCTGCAGCACCCATAGCCACGAAGCCGATGTCTCACTTCAGACAGAGCTGGCCTGCTACTGGCTACCAGGGTTTGAATTACACTTTGACTCTTGGTGGGGTTTAACACTAAGTTAAACCGGTTCATTGATTCACAAGTCTGCCTAAGTGACCCCCACCCCCAGGTTATGATTTTCAAATCTTACAGAGGGGCTCTTGTTTCTTATGGGGGGACTCAGCCCCCTGAGCTCCCCTGTAATTCAGATCCTGCTGGCTACCAAGTCAGAGAGTTATTGTAGCAAGAGTCATGGATCCCAGATCCCAGGGGTAGGGCCCTCTTCCTCCCATCTTCCAGTCCTCTGTTGTGGCACTGACAGTGTGTGGCTTACCCAGGATCCCCAGGATACAGTGACCTGCAGAGGTGGGCGTCTCATGACCCTCCTCTGTCTCCGCACTGATAACATTGATCATTCTGTGGGCTGCTGCCAGTGTCCTGGCCCAGCTCTCGGGACTGAGCTCTTCTGGGACTACCTGAGGATGGGAGAAGAGACCCCAGGGTCATGGTCCAGCAGATCTGCCTGCTTGACCCTCAGGGAGAAAGCAAGAATCCATCATGGCCACATCCCCTTGGATCTTGCTCTTCTATGGCTCCCTTTCAGATCTGTCCCCCCTGGTTCCTTTCTAGCTAATCTAGGAGTGGTGTTTAGACAAAACCCATTGCTGCAGTTTCTTCCTGGCCATACCAGCCCCTTCTTTCTCCCTGCACAAGGGAGTCAGTGCTGTCTGCTCACTTCTTCATCTCCCTCTCTTACCCCAGCATATCCCTCCTGCTCCCCACTGACCCTGCCAAAAGGTGTCCACCCTATGTATTGCCATCTTTGTCCTCTCCCTGCTTTCTCTCCCTTGCTGCTGGGAGGAGTCTGGGAGGGACTGGGCTCAAAGACTTCCCCTTTCACCCATTCCACGATTTCCTGAGGAAACCATCTCTGAGGAAACCAATGGCCAGACCCACCAACCAGCACTTAGAGATCCTTCAGGGCCATTTGCAACCCAGCACAGTAGGAAAGCAGACACAGATAATGAGAAAAGTGGCAGGTCCTCTAGGAAGAAAATACATTGCTCTGAGTGAAGAGCCTGTTTCCAAGACAGTGGCCAGGATCATGCACCCAGGCCAGAGAAAGCAGGCAAAAGTAGGTCCTACCACACACTGCTGCAGTGCAGCACTCAGCTGGGCCACGTCCTTCACATTGGAGATATTCAGGGATGCCACTGCCATGGTGACATTGCTGCGGATGGAGATCCGGTCCCTCAGCTCCTCCTCGTCCCCCTGGCTCCCCGAGTTCTGGAGCACACACAAGAGCAGACCAGGTCAGGCACCTCAGCTGGGCAGTGCGGTGTAATGCATGCATATGCATTGCAGTGGGCATGTGTATGCATGCATGTACATGGGTGTTCGTATAAATGGGTGAATGTTGAGTACCTGCACATGTATAATACAGATGTATGTGAGGGTGGAAAAGGTCTGTACAGTCCTTACCTGATTCAGCACAGTGATGAGGGCCAGGGAGTATGGAATCACCTCCTGGGGGTTTCCCTGCTGGACCATGCCCCACAGTTCTGTCTGGCTCTTGTTCTTAAGCCAGCTGGTGATGGTGAGGGATCCCGACGGGAGGTGCGGCATCCTCAGAGTCAGGGTTCTGCAAGGAAGGACGAGGGAAACAGTTATCCCAGGGACACCAAGCACCTGCCCCCCTCCCTGTAGCTGCCATGGGGAACAGTGGGCCATGATGGATAGAACCAGGCCACATTCCAGTCCAAAGCACTGTCCCAAGATATTACTGATTGTCCCTCTGATCTTTCCGTTGGTCCTAGCTCTGGGCACAGGTTTCTCCCAGAACACAATCAGGCCTTGAACCTTCCCTGGACATGCCACACACTCACCGATTCAAGGCCAAAGTCTTTGCTCCTTGTGAGTCCTCCAGCTCAACCAAGACGTTGACCACGGACCGACTGCCATTGGCACTGGCAGGCAGGAAGGCACTGAAGGATGACTTGACCCCTCGGTAGAGACAAAACTGCCAGCAGCGCTTCCCATCAGGAGAACATGTTTCAGCGATGAGGGTGTAAATCAGCTGCACCGGGCTGCTGTCTTCATCCACCCAGCCTGAGAGTGCAGGAGAGGGGAGGCAGGGATGGAGAGAGTAGAAATGGGAGTCCTGGGGGACCTCACAGTCTGATCCCCAGTCCCTGCTTCTTGGGTTCCCTTCATGCCATAACCTACCAGATCCCACTGTCCTGCAGCCCAACTGGTTCCTCCTGCCCCATCTGGCAGGTCTTCCCATACTTCCAGTTCTGTACTCTCCACCTATTGCATGCAATCCCTACTTCCTTTGCAACATGAAACACCATCTCCACATCACAGTCTTATCCAAGCAAGAGATGGAGACCTGTAAGCCACTGCCAACCCTCCCAACTCCCCATGAGCACGTCATTGGCTTTGTAAACCAGATCGCTTATCCTTTCTGTATGCAGAGCTCAGATCCACATCTGTCCCACAGTCAGGCCTTCATATACAATGCCATCCTGTCAGGGTGGGTCCACAAAGTCTTTCCCACCTTCCCATTAACATTAGCTAAGAGGCAAATTTCCCACTTCTCAGTTCTTCGGTATCTGCAGGTTGTTTCTCCCCCTGTCCACAGCTGCCCAAGGGACACCCTGACAGATCAACATTGGCTTAGTAGGAATGGGCCTGGAATGACCCTGACCTGTGCAGTGGTAAGAGACAGGTGTCTCCAGGAGATAGAGGTCGTGCTCCGGTCTCAGCATGCAGAGCCCACCTCGGGGAGGGTGATTGGGGGTTAGAGTGATGCTGGATCTCCCCGGCAGCTCGCTGCTGGGCTGGAAGGCTGACACTGTGAACGTGTAATTCACCCCATCCCGCAAGACCCCTTGTCTGATCACCAGGTCCCGGTTCGAATCCCCCGTGGAAGTGGTCACATTGTCCAAGGTCAGGGGTTGCCCATCTGAACTCTGAGCTGTCCACTTGTACTGCGAGGGTCAGAGAGAGGCTAACAGTGAGAGAGTAGCCCTGACAATAGGGCATTGGCATGGCCTGACCTCGCTGGCCTGGCTTGGGGAGGGAAACAGAGGATTATTAATATCCCATACCCATTCTCTAGTGCCTGTCACCCAACCCTGTCAGAAGCACTTACAGACTGAGCTTTGCAGCCTCCTGGAGGCATGATGAAGTAACACCATGCCTAGAAAGAGGCATATTTAGTTTGCTAGGAAGGAGCTTTAAGATTGGGGAGCATGACAATTGTTTTCAAGGGTTTGAAAGGCTACCATAAAGAAACTAGCCTGTTGGATTTAACTGCAACAAAGCAGATTTATATTAAATCTCAAAAAAACCCTCCCTGACTAGCAGGACAGAGACAGAATGGTAGGCCAATGAAACAGCACACCATGACCAAGCAGGCTGAAAACCTCCAATGAAGAAGATTCCACAAGATGAGCTTGGGGTCATCTAGAGATAGCACATCATATATTTATGCAAGGCTTTGGATTAGATGACCCTCCAGATCCTTTTCAACTCTGATTCTATATTACATATTGGAAACTGAGGCACAGAGAGGTTAAATGAATTGTTCAGGGTCACACGGAGTCAAGTATAGAACCCATGTGGCCTGATTCCCAGCATCCTTATCTAAGAGTTTTGCTCTCTAAATCATCTCCCTGACCTGCTTCCTCAACAACACTCCTTTTTCCCAGGGGCTGTGGCAACTCCTGCAGTGGAAAGGGAGCAGAATCGATCACAGCCCAATGTGCCCCCCAGGGATCATCTGAGTTCAAGCACCCAGGGGGCCCTGGCAAGTGCAAGCCCAGACTGGCTACATGAGCTCTGGAGCTTGTAGGGCAGGGGCGGGCAATTATTTTGGGCGGAGGGCCGCTTACCAAGTTTTGGCAAGCCATTGAGGGCTGCATGACAGGCAGCCAGGGGCAGATAAATATTAATTTTCTAAATTTTTTAGGGGCCCCACAGGCTGGATAGAATGGCCTGGCGGGCCGCATCTGGCCCCCGGGCCGCATTTTGCCCACCCTTGCTGTAGGTGTTTGGAGTCTGACATCGTAGTGGGGTGGAGGAGCTTTGAAGGGGGAGGGGCATTTGAAAAGCGGGGGGCTTTTGAAAAGAGGGGGCATTAAAAAAAAAATCAAAACTAGAGCTGTACAAATAATGAATGTTTGGACTAGGGGGGTAGACTGAAGAAAAACAGGGGAGGGAGGCTGGGATTTGGTTTGGATCAAACCAAAACAGATTCTTTTTGGCAAAACTAAAAAATAATTTTGCTTGGCATCCACTCCAAATATTTCCTTTCCCCTGAAACAAGGGCTTTGTTTGGTTTTCTTCCCTTGCATTTATCCTCCCTTTTCATTTGGGTCCATTTGTGAATAAAAAATGCTAGGAGGTTGGGCTGATTCATTTTGAACATGGTGAAATAAAATGTTCTGGCATTTCTAAAATGCAGCATTTCCCCTTGGGAAATTTGGAAACAAAACGTCTTGGAAATAGTTATTGAAAATATTTTTAAATATTGATGTTTTGGTCTCTTTTCATCCAAAACCACCTAAATTTGATGTTTTGGTCCCTGCACAACATTAATTTTCCCACAAAGTTACTGCTTATCAGGTCTACACCCATACCAAATGCAGGGAGCCTCCAATCAGCAGGAGATGGGTGTGTAGGAGAACCTCAAAGGGGTCTGTGATAAGTTGGTCTCACCATGGTCCTGTTGTCACAGCTCTCACACTGTCCAAACAGTGTGACATGGATGCTCCTGCTGACTTCGTAGCTTGCCAGGGCACTACAGGAACGGCAGTCTATGCTCACGGGTAGGATCTGGCCAGGTTCAATCCAGACCTGCAGGCACAAATTGGATGCAACCCACCACAGAAAACAAGGCCCACTGAAGAGCAACCCATAAGAAACAGAGCAGACTCAATGTAGCAGAAAGGACAAGCCCCTGGTGCACAGTGTGAGACCCCAGCACAAAGGGAGACATGAGCTCCTGGTATGGGACAAAATGAAACTCAAGGGAGAGACCTGGTACATAAGCTGGAGTCAGGAGCCTTTCATAGGGCATCTCCAGACACTGGATAGACATGTTCAGTCCTAAAAGGATGGGGATCAACAGTCACTGCAATCCATGAGCTTGAGCACCAAATCCTGTGTGGCCCCAAAGACAGGTTAGGGACTTAAAAGGGGACCTCTGGGATCTCAGCCCACAGCCTCATCCTGAGAAGGCGGCAAATGCCTCTGTGTCACAGCAAACCCTTTCCCCAGTGGACTTGCTGCACTGCACCTCGGCCTCCTTCCCCAAAGAACTCCGTAGCCTGAGCAGGGCTCTCCTGGAAGCTCCCCACTTGAAGCTCACCATCTGTGCCACAGAGGCTGGCTCCTTCCCAGGCTTCCAGATGGTGAGAGTGAAGAAATAAGTGGTGGCTTTACATAGCATGGCATGGGGTACTGTGATGTTGGCACCAGCCTGCAGTGGAGGAGAGGCACACGGTGCTGAGGATGCATTCTGAGAGAGAGAGAGGGAGAGAGAGACCTGGTTAACTCATGCCTGGGCCCCTGTTCTTGACCTTCTGCTGAGGGAGAGGAAGGATGATGAGGATAGATTAGGACATCGAACCTCCTGTGTGAACAGTGGATGTGGGTATGGTGGAAGGAGGAGGTGGGGGCTTGAAAGGGTGACCCATTGGTGGGGTTGGACTTACCCTGCCTCCTACTCCATTGGAGTCCAGCTGAATCCCCCCGATCTAATGAGCATCTCACCCACAACACTCAGAGCCCCAGTCCCACGTGGACAGCACTGAGAGAAGTCCCACCCAGCTCTAGAAGGGTGTGTTGCAGCCTGGCACACTTTCTGATTTCTTCTGCCTACCTGAAGTTCACAGGTCCAATGATACTGAAGAGAGGTGTCTCCATCCATCCCCACATCAGGATCATACGAGCTGCTGCCATCCAGAACCAGATCCAGTTGGGCTGACCAGCTCCTCCATGACCCACCTCGGATGACTGGAACTAGCTTGCTGGGGATCACGGTGATGTCCAGGGAAAGCACCTGGGCCAGAGGGGTGTGCTGCAAGGAGGCGGTGAAGCGCAGGCAGTGAGGGCCGATGTCCAAGGAGAGCTTGGGGAGGATGAGGGATGGGGTGAGAACATCCACGTGATGCAATGGGACCAGGCTGGCCTCATTCAGGTGCTGACAGCCAGGGCTGCGGAACACCTCCCACCGATACTGAGCACTGTAGGCCGTGCACCCTTTCAGGTCCACGCTGGCTTCAAAGTAACTGGGGCGAGATTTGGGGATGGTGGCAGGTGGCTCCATAAGCCTCAGCACAGGGCTATCACACACTAGCTCCTGCACGGTAACTGTCACTTGTGCCAGGACAGAGCTGACGTCATTGTAGACCTTCACCTCCACCAAGAAGTCACCAGGCTGGCCGAACTGGTGAAATGCCCTCCAGTCCCTCTCTCCATCAAAGGTCTCCTGCAAGTCTCCAAAATCCCACTTCAAGCGGAGATCACTGCCACCCACAGCCAACACACTGAACATCACTGTTTGATTGACGAAAGCCTGTGTGCCATTGGTGGACAAGGTGGCTGCCTCTATGGGCATTTGCAGGGGCACAGTCACCCTCAGAGAGGCTGCACAGAATGGGTTGCTGGCCTCTACTCGGATGGTGAGGTTGCCCTCTCTGGGTGGCATGTACCCCACCTGCTGACCTGCTGCTTTATAGTCCGGGTATCCAGGCAAAGAGAAGGTCCAGAAGAAGGCGATGTTCTCCCCAGCTCGCACCACAGCGGTGAGCACCAGCTCCTTGCTGGCTTCCAGGACAGCTGGGCAGCAATCCAGGAGACGAAGCCCCCTCACCTTCTCCACTGCATGTACCACAATGGATGCTGTCTGCAGGCTGACGTTGTTGAAGGCAGATGCCAGCACTGGATGATAACCGGCCACTGGGAAAGAAGAGCGATGGACCCCTCCAGGGACATCCAGGCTGAACCCCAGAGTGGGGAAGTCAAGGGCAAAGGTCACATTTGTGCCTTTCAGGGTGTGCAGCCTAAAGAATACCCTGTCATCAGTGCACACGCCATCCCTGTCCACTTCCATGGTCAGCCCAGCCACAGGGTCTTGGACGGACACAGGATACCAGGCTGCTTCCTCACTGATGTCATTCCAGGCTCGAAGGGCTACTTGGTAGACCCCAGCTACCTTGAACCTACAGGAGATATTCTGTCCATGGAAGATCTGCTTCTCCTCCTTGCTGTGCAGCTGCCATTCCCACGTGATATCGGAGCCTGTGGCCACTGAGCCCCAGAGCTGTGTAGATGTGTCTGATTTCAAGAAAAACGGGAGAGTAGTTCCCTCCACAGTGAAAGTCACCCTGGAAACAGGCTCCTGGACTCTCAGCTCTGTGGAGCCATTGCTAGATCCTAAGATATTGGAGACTGTGACGAACACCAGTTTGGAGCCCAGAGTGGAGAAGGTGTAGGATAGAGATGAGAAGTTGGTAAGCAGAGGCTGTGCATGATCCTGTACATGCCAGGAGTAAAGCAAGCCAGTGCCAGAGGTCACCAAGATGGTCAAGTTCACTGGCTTCCCCACAGCCACGCTGTCAGTGGCTGTGTGGACCCTCACACCATAGATTCTCTCCACCACCTCGAGGGGAAGGCTGGTGGACACTTCTCCCAGCGCATTCCCAGCTCTCAGCTCCACCAGAAGTTCCCCGCTTTTGTTATAACAGAACATGAGCGACTGCCCTCTTGCAGTCAACATTTGGTGCAGCCCTTGAGAAATGGTCCACCAGAAGGTGATGTTGGAGCCCTGGGTAACCTCAGCCGTTACCCTAAAGGGCTCAGCAGCCGCAACGTACCTTCCCTGCACCACATTCTTGCTGTGGATCTGAACACCCTGGGCTCGCTCCTGAATCTCAATAGTGACATTTGCCTTTTCTGCACTCACTGAGTTCTCAGCAGTGACAAAAACCAGGAAGATGCCAGTGGTAGGGAAGATGTGTGAGAATGTGGCAGCCCCCTCCTCAAAGTCATATGGCTCACCTACAGCCCAGAAGTAGTGAACATGGTCCCCTGCAGCCAGAGAAACTTCAAAGGTGACCTCTTGTCCAGCTTCACCAACTGGCTGTTGAGGGCTTATGGCCGGCAACCTCACTGGGGTCAACACTGCCAGGGCAAGCGACGCGTTCCTACGGCTGACCTGGTTCTCCCCAGTCAAGGTGACGGTGATGTCTCCAGCTGTGAGATATGTGTGGGAGGTGCTCTGACCCACCTGTGGGGGAGAACGGTCCCCAAAGTCCCACATGAAGGTGGCGACAATGTCTATGGGGACCTCCGCTGTGAAGAGGTAGGAGGTGCCCAATGCCAGAAAGTTCCCCGTTTCACCACCGTGGTGAATAGTGATGGTGCCAACCACCCTCTGAGCCACGATATCCACCGAGGCATTCTGCTGGCTCACCTTGTTCCACACAGTGACCGTCACCTGGTATGATCCGCTCTCCAAGTAGGTGAATGTGATTTCTGGAGATCTTGAGGGCACTGGCTCTTCACCAATGCCAAAATCCCAGTGGTACTGATACTGGTGCTGGAGGTCTGGTGCTGGAATCACTTCAGCCTGGAAGGATAGGGGCTCCCCTAAAGCTATGGCCAGCGTCGGCGCTGTCAGCTTCACTGAGTGGATTCGATCTTCTACACAGATGGACAGCTGGCGAGAGGCAGTGCTTGCCATGCCCAATACGGTCAGGTTCAGCTGGTAGGTCCCAGGTGCTGGGTAGCTGTGAAGGACTGTGGGGTCACCATGTTGGACCAAAGGGGTGCTGCTATCTTGGAAATCCCAGCAAAATTGTACCCCTGTCCCTGGCCCTGTCACCACTGCCTGGAACTGGGTTATCTCCCCACTGGGAAGGCAGCTAGGTGCCAGGATGTTCGTTATCTGGAGCCTGTAAATCTCAGCCACAGCGGAGACATGGGCAGAAGAGGCTGCATTGTGAGCTGTCACCATCACTGTGTAGTTGCCTTCCATGGGAAAGGTGTGAGAGATGACGCCCAGCGACAGGTTGCTGTAGATGGATCCATCCCCCATATTAAAAGACCACCAGACATCTGTGCCAGAGTCCAATGTGACATTAATAACTGTGGCTAAACCAAGCTCAGTTGGTCCACTGGAGGCCAAATGGAGACCCATGACACCATCGCTGACCATAACAGCCATGCCAGACTGTACCTCACCCAAGCTGTTGTTGGCTCGGAGGATTACATTATACACGCCACTCTTCCCAAAGCTGTGGCTCACCAATGAATTTGCTCCTTCCTGTGTGGTTGATCCATCACTGAAATCCCAGGAGTATATGATGCCATAGGGGGAAGGGTAGGGTTGTGCCTCAAAGCAGACAACCTCATTCACTAGTGGGTAAGTGGGAGTCACCAAAATTGCCACTTTGGTTATGGGGATGACAGCCCGGACTTTAGCCACCTGCTGAACTCGATCAAATTTGTTGACAGCCTCTGTGGTCACCAGGTAGTCACCTGCAGAAGCAGAAAAGACATAGCAGGGTGGAGTGGTTTTGTGTGGGAGTTGGATCTTCTGCAATGATTATAACCAGAGGAAGAAGTCATCATTTTCATTGGGCTCAGTCTGTTTTTAGTCACTTGTACATTCATGATGACATCGTCTCTCTCACCTCATCTTCTGTCTGCCCCTCTCTTGGTTCCCTCCTTTGTCCCCTTTCTGCCTTTTTTCTCCTCTGCCTTTGGGAGCCATGAACCAAGACTAGGGGCCCTGCTGAATTCCCCACGACCTGCCAAGCCCTTTTCTTACCTGGCTGAGTGTAAGTGTGAGCTACTCTGTCCAGCACTTGCACCCGTTCTACCTGCGGATCTGGGCGAGGCAGCTGAGCACTGTATGGGGGTGACAGCAGGTTCTCCACCACTGGGCTGCCATCCCCAAAGCCCCACCTGAAAGCAGAAAGGAAATGAGTCCGGGAAGTTCTCTGGCAGTGAGTCAAGTCAGGGTGAGAGTAGTTAATGCACATTTTGGAATGGATGTAAAACCTCATGCTGCAGGGCTAAAGCAAATCTGTAACTTGAAGGGGTCAGGATGAGACTAACTGTGGGGGAAGATGAGGAAAATGCAATTTTTGCATCTTCTGCTGAAGCATCTGGTGATGGCCACCATCAGAGATTGGGTATGGGACAGATGGGCCACAGACGTGAGCAATATGGTAGTGCCTACACTGCGGAGGCACCGTATCTCTTACAGTTTAGTCTGATGTACAAGGAGCAAAGGATCCTCTAACTGACATGTTACAGAAGATGTCATTTATGCCTATCAGTGCAGTCAATCAAGGCCCAACTGTTCTATATCATCTGCAACTATTTGTCACTGGAGCTTGATTCAGACACAACTGGGGAACTTAATCCCTTTGGGAGGTTGGCCTCAAATTTAGCAATATTTTACCATTCTTTTTCCTACTCGGGGGATCATCTTCACCCTCCTCCCAGCTTGATTCCCTTTGTGTCCTTCCTGATGTGAGGTGATGCTCCAACTGGACACCACACAATGACGTGAGTAATGGGCAATAAACCACACCCACCACAATGTCCTCTGAGGGGCCATTCCCTCCTGGAAGCTTCCTGGTGATCCTCTCTAAAATCACACCAGATTAAATTGACCCTATTGGCTTGACCTCTATGGTTGAAAATCCCCCCCTGAAGACTGGGGACAGAGAGCTGTCCCTTCCTGGACCCCATGGGGCTGTCACCTCACAGTGACTTCCACAGCACTGTCCACTTCCACCCTGAATATCAAAGTTTGGAGAACGTTGACTGGCACCACCATCGGGATCCCCAGAAACTCAGGGTTGGCCAGTGGATTCATAGGCTCAGCTCTCAGTGCTATTTCCACAGTCTCTGAACTCACAGGGTTCTCAGCTTGCAGCTGCACGGAAAGAACAGAACTGCATCAAAATGGGTAGGAATGAAAACCCCGTGCATTCCCATCCACCAGTTTCCCCAACCCACTGCCTCACGGCTGGTGCCCTACCTCAGCCACACTGCCTCATGACCCTCAATGAGGGTCTCCTCACACAGCTCAACCTTGGACTATCTCACTGACAGCTCCCTTGATGCATGTCACACATCTCCCAGATTCCCAGTGAGTGCCCTTTGCCATCCAAGTGGTTGGCAGAGGTCAGGGAATGATGGCAGTACTGAGCAGTTCTCCAAGCCTGCTCAGGATGAATTCAGAGCAAGGAACAGAAGGAAGTGGCCTAACATCTATGAATAATAGTCAGGGCAAAGCCACCCAGAGAACCATGGTCGCTACCCTCCGCAGTGACCTTTCATATTTGAGCTGCAGAGGAACATGCAGCGACTCCCACTTGGAGGTCAGCCTCACAGAGGGCCAAGCAACTGGGGCAGATGGGTCTGAGAAGCAGGGTCTTAAGTCAAGCTGCTGCAGTGATTTCTGACTCCTCCATGTAGTCTGGCTTAGAGCATGTTGAACTTGGAAAAGCAGGCTTCTACATTTATATTTTAATAATTAAATGTAAATGTAAAACTTACAGCTTAATAATAATTGGCAAACCTGTCTGTATATCTGTCCCTCTAAAAGTATGCACTGGGGGGGCCTCATGGCACCTTAGAAACAAGTTAAAACACCATGACATTTCTGGGAGGGGGTTAAGAATTGCTGTCTCCATTTCAGAGGTGGAGAAACTGAAGTGCAAAGTGATAGGTGACTTGTTTAAGAAAAGCCCCAGGAGCCCCAGTTCCCCAACCCCTTGCTCTGATGACCCGATGCCCTTTCCTTGCTTTGTTTGCCTCAGATAAAGCAGATTGTGGTGGCTTGTAACATTGCCTCACCTTCAGCCGGTAGGTGGCCGGCTTTTTGAACCTGACACTGTAGGTCTGTCCATTGTAGGCAAACATGCTCATGTTGTCAATGACCCAGGTGTAGGAGATGGAGGAGCCCTGGCTGAGCTCTGCAGAGAATACCTGCCAAGCAAAGCAATCAGATGTTGACCCAAGCCCTATGCATGGGATGGGATGGGATGGGATGGGATGGGATGGTCTCCAGTTGCTACATGCTGGATGGGGCTAATGGGAAGGAGGTGGGAAGCTCCAATGTGTTTGAAACAAAGTGAGACATGAGCTCCTGGGCATAGCATTCACTTGCTTCCCAGAAGCCATCCAGTGGACTTTATTCAGCAGGTCAAGCTCACTTATACTGGAGCAAGAAGGTGTGAGAGAAAATACTCCAAGCCAGACTGGTCCCCAGGGTCTCAGGCAGCCTAGGGGACCTTTGGGCTGCCCTTGGAGATTTCTGCTAGATGAGAACAGCATTGTCCTGCAGCTCAGGGTACACCCAGTGGTCACTGAGTGAGGCCCCTACCCACAATAGGTTTGGTATTAGAGCACCATCAGCATTCAGCAAAACCACAGCATGTCAAAGAGGCGCAGTAGCATAACCTACCTGGGACACATCTACTAACATCCTAAGAGGACCAGGAGGCATCACTCGGAGCCCTTTGATGGTGTCATAAGACTGAATCTTTACTGATAGCTTCTGGGAGCTGACCTTGTTGGACACCAGCACATTGAGGGTCTCCATTCTTGGCTCCTCCATGAGAAGCACAGCAGAGGAGAACCAGGTGTCTGCAGTGTCTTTGCGGCAGGCGGGTACACGTGGCACAATGCTGGCAGGGCAAGTGGGCTCAAAAGGCATCCCAGCCTTATTCACAGGTGCCATCCAGTTGGCCACGGCATTACAGCCAGAGAGGATCTTGACAACCATCAGCATTCCATGTTTTGTGGCCACGTGGAGCTTCCCGTTGACTGGTGTTGGGTGGATAATCTGAAGCCCACTGACCCTGGTCTGCACCTTCACTGTGCAGTCCACCTGCCTGCTACTGACCACGTTCTGCACTGTTGCCATGTAGGTGTATGTGCCGGGCTCTGAATGTCCACCAAGAAGAGGGCTGGTGGCAAGGCTTCGTGTCCTATATGCAAAGGTGACTCGGATGTCACAGAGGACACTGTCCACCCATGTAGGGTTGGTAAAGCCACTGATGTCTTCTTCCCACCAGCCATCCTTCACAAGGCTGATGTAGCTCTGGCGCCAGGGGGAGCTGGAGTGGTGCAGACACTGGAGGAACAAGCCTGCCTCTGCATTGTGCTGGATCCCAATAATGTCATTGGGGTTGACATGAGTCTCCTCTCTAGGCAGGAGGACCTGAAATGCACAGAAAGAATCATCTCCCTTCGGAACTGTAGCATCCACTGTCACCAGCTTGGCCTCAGAGCTTACCCTGCCATGAATCCTACCTCAGGTCCTACCTATGACGTGAGAGGGACAGGAAGAAGGACAACAGGAGGAAGAAACAAGGAAGAGAGGGATGGGAGAGGGAAGGGGAGGAGGATGAAGGAGAGAGGAAGCTGGGAAGGGCTGTTACCCACCACCGCTTAATTTAATTTAAATTCCTGAGTTTTGCCAGGGTCATTGCAAGGCTCACAATGCACAGGGGTCTGAGTGTCAGGTCTGCACGCTGTGATGTGGCATTTACTGACCCTGCCTCACAACAGGATGATGGCACCCCTCTCCACAAAGTTGAATCACTAAGGTTCACACCTAAGGATGCCACAAAATTGCTGCCCCGACACACAACAAACACCAGCAAGTGACAATGCAGGGAGAAAAGGGCAGGAAATAACCAGACAGGAGAAATGTAGGAGAAAGAGAAGATCTAACAGGATGAGGTCCTGGAATCACTTACATGGAGGTGGCTGCTTTTGCTGCTGGGAGGGAGGACCATGGAGAGGTCAGCCACTGGCAAGTAGGATGGAGGGGTCGCCATGTAACGTGGAGGGCTCGGGAAGGGCAGGATAGCGGAGGTCACATTCTCAAAGGCATAAGAGCTACAAGGGCTGGAGATGTTCAGACAGCCTTCTCTCAATGGGCACCACTGCTGCCCACCCGGGCACCCACCTGTGGTGTTGCCGAGTGGCCTGGGGTGACAGCAGGTGAATGGACTGTGAAGCAGCTGACAGCCTGAGAAGAAATATATGCTGCATGTTAGGGCAACCCTTAGAGCTCAAAGGCAAAGCAAGCTGCATTATTATGGTTTCCCACTCTGGGCGTTCTCCTAAACATGTATTCCACGCTCTGTGTTTTCTCCTGAACACCCACTACAACATATCATTCAGATCTGCAATGATGTTCCCCATCTTGATGGAAGAACCAAACAATCAAAGAGAAAAAGGGCCAATAGGCAGGTTTTGAAACCAGATCTGGACTTCTGACAGCCCAGAATTTGAATTGGACAAGGAAGATAAAGCAAGACAGTCTCCTACTTGGGAGGAACAGTCTGGAGGAAGGGGGTACTGGGCTAGGATCCAGATCTATTCCTGGCCCTGCCGTTGACTGACTACATAGCCTTTTGCTAGTCACTTAATCTCTCCTCTCTGCTCTTTTTGGGGATAATTACTGCAGCCCACTTCTGGTTGCACCTGGAAAGTAATGGAAGAGGAGCACCTGTGTATGTATCTACTTTTATTTGGACCGGGAGAAAAACCTGACTGGTTTTCAATTAGCTCTATCCACGCTGCTTCCAGCAGAGGAAAGCGATAGCAGCCAATGACTTCCTAATTAGAAAGAAGACATCCTGCTTAGAACATCCTCTTTGGAGGAGCATAACTTAAGAAAGGATTAGCGCTCTTTTATGTTTCACTTATCAGATTGCTGGGAATCCTGCCCTGCTTAATTTTGAATGCACTCAAATATCAAGTTAGTTTCCAATGTGAACATTAACCCAGGGGGTGTCTTTTCTTCAATGGCATTTCCACACTGGCAAAAGCTCCAGTTAGATGCAGTTATACCAGGGTCAGTATAGCTTAGTTTGCTCATTGTAATGATATAGGGTATTGTGGCAAAAGTCCATGTTTGCTGCTACAAGTACGAGAGAATTATGGAAGCTGAACTCTTACCAGGAGGGACCAAGTGCTGGTTGGGGTTGCAATATGGGCGGAAGATCTGGAACCGGATGAGAACAGGTTTCTTTGTTGATTGTACCCCCAAATCCACGGAGACAAGGGCGCCTGCCTGGCTGAACCAGAGGCCAGGGAAGAGCATCAACTGCAAGACAGAGGGCCAAGAAAGGACATACGGGACACGTGAAGGAGAAAGGTCCACAAAGGCCTCGTGGAGAGATCTGAGAGGGGAGGAGAGGGGTGGGGTGGCGATGGGTCCATTTGTGCTGTCATGATGTGATGCTCTTGGGATGTGTCTGGGGCTCATGTTACTTCCCAAAGATCTGTGCTGTAGTCAAAGCACAGCCCTGTTTATCCAGCCTGGGAGCAGGAAATACAATTTTCTCATAATTTCTGGGCCTTAAGCACTAGGAGAACAGCCTCTGGTTAACATTTTGCTGCTTCTGGGCAGCTCTGTGTCTCACTCCCAATGGATACGCAGTGAGTGGCCCCAAGTCAGGGAGGGAAGGGTGAAGATAGCTCATACGGACCCATCTATAACACTGACATGCATCCGCCGCAGGGGTCATGGCCTGGACATTACCTCAATGTGGTTGGCTCCTATAAGAGGAGGCAGCTGCTCAATGCTGATGTTCTTGACCTCATAGGCTCTGCTGAACGCCGGCACTCCTGTCAGGAACAGGTCTGGGTTGGGAAGGATGGCTGCAGACACAACACATGTGGTCACTTCTCTGCAGAGCAGTCAGGCCCTGCTGCCAGCTTGCCTCGCCGACCCAGCTAGGATGCCAGGGCTCGAGGAGACCGGCTGAGCTACAGCAGGATCTCAAGGCAACAATGGTGTAGGCATGGGTGCAAGCGCTTTGCTGAATCAGGGCCCTGGCCAACAGACAAGGCTGATGAAATGAGGGGCTGGCAGGCAGAGACGGAGCTATAAGACCCTACCCCTAGAAGCAGGCGGGGTGTGCCATACCTCCAGTCCTCATCTCACAGAGGAACAAGGACGTTGCAGAGCACCGGCTGCTCTTCCAAAGCCCTTTGGAGCTGAAGAGGTGCATCTGGATACAGTTCTCCTTCCCCTCAGGCCTGCCTGAGGGTGCCCAGTTCTGGAAAGAGTTCACAGGGCTCCCATCGACCCAGCGCAAGGAACCCAATGAGCTGAGGTCACCCAACCCAATCCAAGCTGCACCAGCACTGCCGAAGAGAAAGACAGAAAGGACATCTGCTTACTGCACAACAGCTTTGGCAATTCAAGCCCAGAAGTCAGCTGGGGAAGGGAGTGGGTGTTGGGGTAGGTAGGAGGCAGCTGCTCAGTGTTAATGTTTGGTCCCACTGAGTACCCCTAAGACATCCCTACAGCATTTAAAAGGGTCTGAATAATTGGTACTCTTCTGCCACCACCAAAGATATCCCCCAAGCACATGAAGCCCGATCCCCTCAGGGCTTCTGTGCCCTAGGAGTGGCTCCCATCCCATCTTGCACTGGTGGAAATAAAAAGTGCAAGTTGAGCACCCAGCCCAGTCACATCCACACACAGGGCTTCCTGCAGCTGCTTCCACAGTCCATGGGTTGTGACACCCATCCCTTAACTCCCAGCATAACCACCTAGGGCTTCCCTGAAGGGGCATAACAGTTGGTTTTTAGAGGTGCCTGGCCTTGGCAACCTCTGCTAAATTGAAAGAAAGCTGGAGGGTCTCACCACTTCTGATCCTCCATCCCATAAAGACTAGGGTCTGGAACTTAAAGCTCTTGTTGGGGTGCCTGCTTGAAACAGTTCCTTCCTAGGGGTGGTTCAACATCCACATCTTAGGGGGTCTAAACTGCACGTATTCTGCTGTGGCATTACACCCTGGAGAAGCACGATGCCTGCTACACCCACTGTCTGACTGCCTCTAAGCCTTGGGGAATGAGCAACCCCACCTTGGGGTGATGGCACTAGGGGAGGGAAGGTGCTTGACTGTCTGATGCCTGAATGGCACCCACCCTCATAGCAATGCCAGTATTAGCACAGCAATAGGGCTGCAGCAGGGCACGCACCTGGGGAAAGTCTCCTGCAGGAAGCTCTGCACCTCTTGAGAGCTTACAATGGCCAAGTCTCCTCCTGGCATTGCTTGGCAGAGCTGTCGGGCATCCTGCCAGGTCTCCTTGTCTTGGCTGAGCCAGTAGCAATTCAGGCTTGGCAGATGGATCCGGCCACCTCGGGGGCAAGAGGATTCATCTGGAGAGGAAGAAGGGGAAATGAGGAGCCTGGAAAGGCCTGCCCCATCCAGGCACATGGCTGAGTTTCAGGGGAGTTTGTGTTCTCAGTCCTTTCCGACCAGAGGCTGAGAAACCATCTCTGGAGAAGGCTCAGTCTTCCTTGAGAGGGACATCCTGTGAAGCCTTTCAGTTGTGGTACCAGGCCAGTCGCTTCCCTGAGGGCCCAGACATAGACAGATGAGATAGCCCAGGAAAAACTGGTGCCATTTATCTGCAGTTCAGAGGGTGACATATAATCTTTATTGGTTCACTTTGCTGAGGGTGGGAAGGAAATGAGGGGTAGGAAATAAAGACCATGACAGGTTATTGTGGCAGGTTGATCTGTATCGCTTGGTGAAATGGTCACAGTCCAACCAACTTCAAACCTCTGGTGCTAAGATGGAAGGATAAGGAAGGGAGGTACTCTACCAGTTTTGCTAATGTATTTGGTGTCTCACTTCCTGAGCCCACCAGGATAGACCTAGGTGATGCCCTTCAGGTGGCAAGGGTGGAGGAAGCAAAGGAACCCCAGACTGGAGCTGTAGGGGAACAGGTCAGTGTGGATCAAGAACAGAAGCCCAGAGCTTCACTTTATGGCGCTACAAGGTGGTGATGAGGAGACAAGGAGAGGAGCAGGGTATAGCAGGATCTTACTCCACTAGAGGTAACTCTTCCCAAAGCAGAAGCTGACACTTTTGGTGCCATAAAATATCTTGGGGTTAGGAAAAAGGAACAATAAACAATACCAAGCACTATGCTGAAGTCACATCTCTCATCCTGAAAGATCCTAAAGTTCTTTCCAGGCAAACGGATACAAGAATCAATTCACCCACCACTGAAATGCAGCCACCTCTGCAGTGGAACAGGGCAGCTGCTTAAGAGCCGAGGCAGAAAAGAGTGAATGCAATACCCAACGGCGCAGGGAAACCGTCATCGCCTCAGCAAAAGTCTAGGCCAGAACAGGGGGACTAGCCCCACTGTTCTTGCCAGAAACAATGCCACAGACTTTTTAATGGACAATCCTGGTTAGGTCCTCAATTTTTTGTCTGATCCCAAAGGAACCCTAGCATGTGGGGCAAGGGGATGAAAGGCAAGCTGGTGACTACAGAAGTAAGTCCTGTGCTAAGGGTCTAGATGGAGCCAGTCCTTCTCCCTCATTCTAGTTCCCCCAGATTTCACAGTCCCCCGCCCGTGCCGCACTTGTTTTTTCCTGGTCCCAGTCTGTCAACTTTAACCATTTTCTGCCATTGAATCCCTGTGTGCCGATGCCCCCACCCAACTCCAGGTCTTCACGGCCAAAATACTCTCTCCAACAAGCTGGGGCAAGGAGGCCAAAGGAAGTCATGGGACTGGGACCTGAAAGAGGCTCAGCAACTGCATCCTAAGGGGAAAGGGCCTGCTATTACCTTGGGGGCCAGGGGCATCTCAGCTTCTGGGGGCAGCCCCATCCCGGCAGCAGCAGTTCCTGGCTCCCGAGCCCTTTGAGCAGAACGCTCACATCAGAACAAGGAAAATCAAATCCAATCAATGCGGCCATCGCCACGTCCAGCTTGGTTGCTGAGGAGCCGGCAAGCACCCGGCTTGGCATCCCTGTGTCCCCCAGCAACAGCCGAAACACTCCTGCCACAGAAAGCCAGAAAACCCATCGCCATGGCAACTCCAAACAAAGTTTGATCTGTTCCAGACACTAAAACATCCCGCCAACTCCCGGGAGACTCCCCTGCTCCCACAGCGCGGACCATTGATCAGCTGCTGCCAGCACCTCACCAAGGCTTTCCAGATGGACCGAGTGCTCTTGGAGAGTCTCAGGTTTTCATTAGGGCTGGAAGGGACCTTGCAAGATCATCGGGTCCAGCCCCCTGGCCAAGGGGCAGGATGTCAGCTGGGGTCAGATCACCCCAGCAAGATAAGCATCCAAGCGTTTCTTAGAGTTTGCTACTGCTCGGGGTGCCCCAGGCTTTGAATATCCCACAACAGATCCCGCTCCATCTCCAGCTGGTCCCTGACACAAGGGGAAGGGACAAAGGGTGATTTGGAAAGGGCTCCCTGCCTGGGTGGTGACAGCACTATGATCCCAGGGTCAGGCCTGGCTGAGAAACCTCTCGCGCATGGCTCCATCCTCGCCTTTAAGCCCCCCGCCTGCTTTCACTCCCGTCTGCTGCTTACTCATGGGAACATGGTCCTCAAGTTGAGTCCTCCTTCCCTCCACGCTCCCTCTCTTGCTGTCAGGGGTACAATCAGGATGTGGGCCATCAGGGCTTGCCCCTAGAGGGTTGTGCAGAGCATGTAGAAGTAGCTGGAAGGGACTAGGATGTGAGCGATCACCAAATGCATAGGGGATGCATAGGGGGTGCACATGCACCCCCTGAGAGTGAGCACTCTCAGCTTAGGTGACGGGCAGGGGGGCAGGCAGAGCACTGGTGCCTCCCTTCCCCCCAAGAAGTGCTGCTGGCACTACAGGGCTTGGCATCCAGCCGTAGGGAGACCCCCCACATCGTTGACATTGCTGCGGCCACCTGCAGATGGTCCCTGCTCAGCCCGTCCTTGCTGCTAACACCTGAGTCGCTGCCTGTAGGTGGTCGCTGTGCCCCCCCAGCCTCAGGAGGCACGCATTGCCTATGACCAAATGAGTCAGCTGGACAGGTGATGGCAACAAGGGGTTCAGAGGCCAACAGGGCTGGAGAAAAAAGGGTCTGGGCTGGAGTCTATAATGAGGAGTCAGCAGGCAGGAACCAGGACCTGGGACACTAGGAATCAGCAGGCTGGAACAAAGAAAGTAAGAACAAGGACTCCGAAGCTCAAGACAAGGCTGAATGGCCTCTGTCCTGTCGCAGAGCATCCTGGGCGCTGAAAGAGCTGCTGCTGGTCAAGCAACTGGGGCCAAGTGGAAGCAGTTAAGTTGCTGGCAGCCAGGCCCACCCAGGGAACCAGGACAGCTGGGGGCAACTGAGCTTGCCTACTGCCCTGACTCCTGGCACCTGCTTTGTGCTCTGCACATTCGTTCACTCCTTCCCCTGCCCTTGACTCAGGGTTTCGCACTACCCCATTGCTGCAGCACATGGGTGCCAGACCTCCATTCAGGAATTTATCCACACACCACTTGACCCGAACCACAGAGTGACTGGGGGACATCTCCAAGGCTATGCAGGACATCTAGAGCAGAGTCAGGGATTCAACCTCAGTCTGCAGCACAATGTTCTTGTAAACTGGAAGTATGCTGGCCCAGGATATAAATTACCTATGCAGTGAGACCCCATGGCTTTGGCAGCGTGGCTAGACAACAATCAGCTTCTGCTCCGGGGGGCACTGGGCACAAGAGTGTAGACCACTCCAAAGACATTAGATAGGAGCAAGAAGCCAACATCAGTTGTACTACCTGGCACTCAGATCTCACCAACTATCAGCCCCCGTTTCAGGCCACGAGCTAAGCACCAGGTGAAGGCAGAAAGAATGGTATCAGAAGACATGCTACTGATACCATCCTTTCAGTAGCATGGCATGATCAAGTACCAGTGAAGGGTATCAGTGCCCAGGGTTGACCCCAAAATATTGAGTTAGCTGGACTCTTGGCCTGTTTTTTTTAATCGTCTCAGGCCAAATTAGTCAAATCAGTTTTGAATCCTATCGACAGAGCAGAGGTCAATCGTTCAAGTCTGTGTGGTGCTACCATCAACAAGTATCCTACCTCCTAGACTATAGTCTGAGGCTTCAGATACTCCCAGATCCATGGGAAGATCCTATGTGCAAGCCCCAAACCTGGAGTCCTTGGGGTTCAGATGCCCTCTAGTCTTGCTTGCCCTTAGCCAAAACGCTGTAGGAGCAAGCTAGAGGGAAAGCCCAGGAGCAATTCCCTATCACCATGAATTGTGTAGCTGAGATCTTCCCACTGGAAGGCCTTAGTAGACTCCCGCAGGAGTGCCCTCCCGCAGTGCAAGGCATTGGTCTCCACTTTCAACTACACTAAGTCATTCAAGGCTGAGAAGGAGGGGATCTCCCCTGCCAGGTATGTAAAACCACCTGGGCCAAAACCATCATCATGGTATCTCCCTAGAAGACCTTAGATAAGCCGCTGTAAGACCAGCACCTCCTGCTTTCCCAGAGAAGCCACCCAAGCCTTGTCCTGTCACTTCCTCGCATCAAGTGACTCTTACAGGCTGCATGTGTGAGACTGCCTGGGTCACTGGTTTTCTGCGGAAGGGGCTGAGTCCTGAATCTCCGCAGGGCAGCCCAAGCTAGGACAACACAACGCAGACATTTTACTCCTTGCCATCCCTTTCCATTCACTTCAATATGACCCAGCTGCATCCAGGTGCCTCCAGCCAAAAGCCCTTCTCAAGCTGCTGGGCATAGCAGAGACACCTCACCACTGTATGTGACCCCAGCAGGATGCCAGCAGGGCCAGCACAGCACAGGCTCTGCCCCTGCAAGGAAGAGTTTGAGAGCATGCACATGCCATCCTCCCACCTTCCTTCCCCCTTGCCGCATGCACGGCTCTCCCATCCCCTGCCCCCGCCACATTCAAAGCAGCATTCATTCTCCGCAGTCTGCGCCCCACGTACCAGCAGTCCCTTTGCCCAGGAGGAGGAGCAGCAGCCCCTGCAGCTGCAAGCCATGGCACAGAGCTGCCAGCCTCGCCATGCTGCTCAGTGGAGAGATGCCGTCTTGAGAGAGATCAGTGTAACGGGCCCCAAAGAGCCTCATGCCGTGCCCCTCACCATGGCATCTGGACTAATGTGACGCAGAGCCTCATTCTCTCTCCCCCACCTCTGGGGGAGGGAATTGCCCCTCCTGTCCCTCTCCTGCCATCCTAGCCCCCTCTGTCTCCATGCCCACACAGCTCCCCTAGCGCTGGAGGCTCTCTCCCCACATGGACTTTGCTGCCTTCTGGGATACGCACAAAGATTTTGCAGGGCTTTGCTCGGCAACTAGATCTCTAAACCCTTTCTTTGTGGCTGCCCCGAGTCTCCCTGGAGACGCAGATGCAGCCCTCCCTCCTGGAAAGGAGGCAGCTTGCCTCATGCGGTCAGGCAGCTGGCTGTCACAGATCCTCCTCCCTGCCTCCTTAATGCCTGCTGCCACCTTCCTTTGGCGCTGGGGGCCCAGCACCGCCTCCGGGCTGCCCCTCTCCAGAGCTGGGTCTCTCCTCTCTACACCTCTTGCTGGAACACCCTTTCTGGTTCCCCCACCCAACCCCACACCGTCTAAGGCCTGTCTACCTTGACATCTGCCCCCACGTGCCATCCAGGCTCCTCCCGCTCCCACACGATCTTTTTTTCTCCAGGACAATCCCGAGGGAGAAATGAAGGGAATAGAAAGGGCAGAGGTGCAACATCCGCTGCTCTCCCTCCAATACTCCAGTGCTGCCACCTCTCGTGGAAGCTCCCCATCTCACAGGAAAACCAGGACCCTGCTGAAATAACCCCCCGCAGCCTCTCACCCATGATCTCTTGTCCACTTGGTATCATCACTCTCCAGAAGACAGAGAGGTCGGTGCCCCGCGGGACATGGATCCAGATGTCAGCTCTCTCTCCGGTCCCCACAGCAGTGGGGCACTCCAGGCCCACCGATGCCACGGGCAGGATCACGCTGACACCCACTCGATACAGCAGACTCCTCTGCCCAGTCTGTGCCTTGACTGTCACCACGTACATGCCAGGGAGCGCATACAGATGCTGAGCTCTGGTGCGGCTGGTGGTGTACTGCTCCCCTCTGTCTCCAAAGTCCCAGGTGTACACGGTCCCAGGCAGTGGGACCTCAGCGGTAAATTCAATCATCTCATGCAGACTGTAGTACGGGCGAGCAGAGAACGACAGGCTCACCTGGGGGGAGGAGAGCAGTGGAAGCTGACACACAAAAACACAGGGGCTGGGAGCTTGGGTCCCTTTCCCCAGCTTCCAGCATGCTGTTGGAAGAGGTTTTTTCTATGCCTCTCACTCTCAGATCCCCTCAGCTCCCCGCCAGCTGTTAAAGAGCTCTTCTTCTCCACCCCCCCAGCCTCCTCTTCCAGGCTGGTAGGAAACTCCATGCATCCCTCCCACCATCCCTTGGGAGCCCGTTCCAGACCTTGAGTGGCCAAGGTCTGGAACGGGCTCCCA